GTAATTACGTCATCTAGTCTAATGGCTGCATCTCACAGCTGGGGCTTGTTCAACAGGGTTTAATATGCGTCATTGAATTTTAAATGAAAAATGTACAATTCACTTTGCCAGTAAGTAGAGCATAACATCATTTTAACTAACTGAATCTTGTTTTATACGAAGTCTACAATAAAAGTAAGTGCATATTTGATCGCTATCTCACCTGGTGGAAAGTGACGATTAGGTCGATGACACAGTATGCACACCTAAATAATCGCTTGAAAAGTTCCAAGTTATAGCATTCACGGAATCAGTCTACAGGCAAAGAAATCCACTCCATAACATATTTTGTAGAAAATTGACAATATCTTGGTTTCCATTTCTATTTCTATTAATCAGGAACATTAAGGAAATAGAAATGGAAACCTTGCTTGGGCCAGTGTCAGTTTCGATTAATGTTGTCAGTTAAAATTGATAAAAGCGCCAACGTTTCGGTAGAAAAAAAGGTATTTATTTTTAGATGAATCTCTTCGACGGAATGCTGTTATGAAGATCATACCTGAGGTAAAAAACAATCATGGACGATCAACCAACTAAATCATTATATTATTAGAACGTATAAAATCACACAAAATGTTAATAAAGGGAGGAAACACATAAAGAGGAATTGAAGGTTAAATAGGACGAGGAATGAAGGAAGGAAGTCAATTTAGGACATTTAAGAAAATGTGATCAAGGGTGTCTTGAGTTTAGATATTAGTTTCTAGTTTGTGGCTTTTTTTTATAATTAAGTGACGGGGTGAACAAGTCATGCATCTGATGGTAAGTTACACGCCTGTCTATAACAGTTGCAGTGCCACTCAGAGCTTTAAATCGCTAAGATCTGAGGGGTACTGCCACTGCGCCAGTGATCATGAGACATAAGTTGACTAGTCCCATGTGCCTGTATTTTACCACTGTGTCTACTTAAGGGTCGAAACACAAAACTGCGAATTGCTGCGATGTGATTTCGTGCGGCAAACCGTTTCGGTGACAATCGTCGACGGGACTAAACAATTTTTTGAAACTAGGCAGCGACAGGGTTATTTGTCAGTTTTTGTTTGTGTCAGTAGTTATATTTTTTTTTTAAATGATAAACTAAATTATATTTGTATACAGTGCATTGAACTTAATATTATCAGCAGTTCCAAATTTAAATGAGTTTTGCGTCATTTCGATATGTCCATAGTCAATACCGCAGTAATCACTGAACTCGAATTCTCGCACTCAACGGTTCAAATCGATTTGTATGATAATCGTATGAACTTGAAAAAATGTCAACAAGTCGAAAACTCGTAAGCAAGAATCGCCCTACTACATATTTCTCTGTGTAAACAGTCGAGGAGGCGATTAAGTTGCTTGCGAATTTCGTATGACATAATCGTAGGCGACATTTTAGTTCTTGCCTGAATGTAAACATTATGACACGACAATCTTATGGCGATTATTGCTTACGATAATCGCGTACGAGTTTTAGTCGTGTGAGCTCGTAGATTTGTACGATACGACGTCGCAATTTTGTGTTTCGACCCTAAAGTTTAATAGTTTGTTTTTTTCAAATAAACCAACTTTCGGGTCCTCTAAAGGTCCCATGATCATTGCTGACTTCTTTTTGTTTTCCCGATATTTCGAAACGGTTACACGTTCCATGGGCACGGGCTAACCGGCCAACGGCAGATGATAGCTCTAAGAACATACATATACGACTACCCTTTTTCGATGTCCACGACTAACCTTCGTCTCGATCACTCGTGGCATTACCATTGTCACTCACTTTTCTCCGACAAACCACACTGACTCTATCCACATATGCAACTGAAATCCTACCATTTTTATTTTTATTATTATAAATATTACAATAGAAACAATATAACATTTATATTTTCTACTCTGAAATCACTGTTAAGTATTATAAAAAACCGACCTCAAAAGTCCGTGGATTTACATATATTTGCTAAGTTATATTGAAATCGGTTACCGGGAAGTGCGCGAAACCGGATTCATATCCTAGTTTTAGGTATTTTTTTTTTAATTTTAAAATGGTACCAATACAGGCAATCTCTTTCCAACAAAAAAAGAATCTTTAAAATCAACTTACAAATGCATTTACTTTTCTGAGCCCATTTCGATGATTCTTTTTCTCTCTCTGCACTTAAATTATTTTTATATTATTTTTACAAAACTGACACTGGCCTAATTCTAGTAACCGCCATTAAAGAAAAATAATAAGATGTCCAGTCTCTTTGCGCGCGTAAAGGTAATGAAATGTGATTGGTTGATGACTATATAAATGAAGTCATAATAAGTATATAAGTGAAATTAGTCAATATTATAAGAAATATTTTCCCAAACCGTTAAACTTTGTGTTTAAATCGGTTTAGAGAGAGATATAAAAAGATTAGAAGCGTACATAAACACGATGACAACCTAATCTGTGTAACAAGTTACAGACTTCTATATAGCTTCCTTATACCGAATCTTAT